TTTTTGTGAAGTTATGAGAAGCATTTAGTTCTTGAGCAACATCAGTTGAACATGGATCTTTTCAGACAATCGGAAAGGAGCATTTGCATTTTATTGGTTCAGAAGGGTCGTATTCTATCCAACATCCGAACGAAGAAGTTCCCAACCGGAAGTTGTGCTTTGAAGGACGAAAACATCAGTTTATTAATATAAACGGGGAACAGATGTGCAATGAATGCGGACTGGTATCTGGTCCTGTTCCTTTTGTTTCAGAGTATGGTTGTTGGAATTGGGCAGTTATGAACGGTCCGGATAGGAGTAGCATCAGTTATAGGTATGAGAATTTTTTGCCGCATGAGGAATATAACAGGTTTTGTTTTATCAGGAGGAGAAAAATTTAAAATTGCGAAAAGTATTAGAGAGGTTTATAATGCAGAGGAACCCAAAAAGAGGAGGCTCCATAACCTTAACATCCTGACTTATCAAATATGTAAAAGACTTAACATAGAGATAGACGAGTCTTTACGTCTCAATCTGGATTTCGATCATTACACAGTACACTAACTGCCCTAATAGAAGCCACGGATAATTGGTCAATAAATATAGATAAAGGCCTTCTTAACGGAGTAATTTTTATCGATCTTAAAAAAGCATTTGATGCTATTGATTACACCATTCTTTTACGGAAGTTACGAATTTATGGCGTTGATGAAAATGGTATCAAATTCTTCGAATCATACCTAAGCAACCGCAGTCAAAGGTGTTGCGTCAATGGTGAGTTATCTGAAACTGCTAAAATAACCTGTGGGGTACCACAAGGCAGTGACTTGGGACCTCTATTGTTCTTAATATACATAAATGATTTGCCTAAGTGTCTTGACAGAGCCTGTCCAAGAATATTTGCTGACGACACTAATATTAGCATCGCAGCAAGTTCCGTCACGGAGCTTGAGCAAATAATAAATCCGAATTGAAAAATCTTCATCAGTCGCTACTAGCTAATAGACTGAGTCTTAACGTAGCTAAAACGGAATTTATGATAATAGGATCTCGTCAAATATTACTAGTACATGATAACGAACACATAAGGATAGAAATTGACGGAAAGACTATTAAGAGAGTCAACGAAACGAAATCCTTAGGCTTGCAAATCGATGAGCATCTTACATGGGCACGACATGTCGAAAATATTTCTAAAAAGATTGCATCAGCTATTGGAGCTCTTAAACGGATACGCCCATTTATAGATACAAACACTGCTCTGAAAATTTATGGAGCATTAATTCAACCGCACTTTAATTATTGTAGCTCAGTTTGGGATGGTTTGAATATCACGTTAATGACAAATTGCAAAAATTGCAAAATAGGGCAGCGAGGGTCATCACTAAATCTCAATATAATGTTAGTTCCAGAGACCTTTTTAGTAAGCTGAGCTGGGATAATCTTTTAACACGTCGGAAAAAGCATAAGGCTATACTAATGTTTAAAAGAATTAACGATCTAACTCCGTTCTATCTCCATGAATTGTTTGAATCTCGCAGCACAGGATATAACTTAAGTGAAACTCTGAACACTCCTTATTTGTACCAAAACCAAGAACGAACTACGGTAAGCGAAGTTTAATTCAGTTATAGCGGGGCAGGTTTATAGAACGAGTTACCACAAAATTTTCGAACAACATGCTCCCTAAGTCAATTCAAAAGAGCAATTGACAATCTGTTCTCTATACGAGATGGACTCCCGCACGGCAATCTTGTAAATCAGTATTTTAGTGTTTGGATAAGTGTATATTAATTGTCATAGCGTAATTGTAATTATATGTTAGTTAATTATCTTGTAAAATGTTATACTGTAGATTTCACCGTGTTAAAATAAAGTTTTTGATTGATTGATTGATTGATTACTTAAGATTCCTAAAGGTAAGATTCCTCATAATCGGTGCAAGAAGGTATTTCAGATACTAGGTTGGGAGTATATTGAGTAATTTTAATGTTTCGCTAAGCATTAAAATTGAAATAGTAATTTTTGGGTGACGATGACGAGGAGGACCTCAACCGTTATCGGTATCAATAGGCAGCTGATCAGGCACAGCCACATCAGTTTCCGAGGTACTTTAATCATTTTGTTTATCATATTTTTTTACCGTTGCGCTGGCTAACCGATCTGGGTATGTGCGCTCATTGTGATGTCTCTTCGTTCAATACCGATACCCAGTTTAAACCTTTTTCTCCTTTTATGACTTTTGTTGTACTTCACCCCGTTTGTGATTTCAGGTTTTGCGGACAAGCATCCCATTTTGTATTTAACCGGAAAATAAAATGCCATTCAACATGATTATCGTAGGTATGACGGCCTGTGGAAAGACGCACTAGTTCGTCCAGGAATTGAAAACCACATTTTCCCGTCAATTTGAAAATATATTATTAATTTTTTCCACCTATCACTGGAATAGGACCTACGAGCATGATTTCATTCATAAGGACGACAATTTCTTTGTCATTCCCTGCCGGCAGGATGACGGTGAAAAGTATCTTAAATTTTTTGTGGATTTTACAAAGGGAAAGGAAGCCCTCATCATCCTGGACGACTGTGCCAGCACCAAGTCAGTGAAAGACCGTATGGGGGAGATGGTCGATCTTGGGTTTAGCGCACGTCACATGAGTATTTACACCATCGTTATCACTCAGCAACTGACTTCCATTGCCAAACCGTACCGACAAAATATCCGAACAGACAGGACATGAAGATTATTTTGGACGTATATCTTTTTGTCGATAGTGCGGAAATGAGATTTAATAAGGAAAAGCTGAAGAAAAAACAGATACGCTCATCTTGAGGTAAATCTGGTTCATCCGTTCAGTCAAGAGGTAAAAATTCCGATGTTAAAATAAAAGAGATGGAATCAGAATTACCGACCGCAGAAAATACAGTGGTTGAAGATTATAGGGCGGAGCTTATCCGCCTGTCCAATGCAGGGGAGATTACCCAATCTGAAAAATATCTTAGGAAAGCGTGCGAAAAAGTCATTATGAAAGTCCGGAAGGACTACATCGTTGCTAACGGAACATCGCGCTAACGGAAGCCCTGATTGATAAAATTTCCGATGTTATGGAAGTCATCAACATGGTGCACAGTGGGAAAGAGCTGAAGACGGAACTAAATTAGGACAAGCTATTTTGGAGTGATGTCAAAGCGTGGTGGGAAAGCTGTCCCCCTATTTAGGAATTGTTAGCGGTAGAGTGACGACCGTAAAACATGTTTACCGAAGAACTCCAGAACCGGAACCGAAAATCGATACCAACGATCAATCCCCAGGGGTTGGGTCGACAAATGGAAGGGTTTATTGATGCTATTTCGCACGAATTTACACAATTTTTTCAGGTCCCTACCTGACGTTTTTGACAGAATATACAAAAAACATGGTTAAAATCCTTTGTTCCAGGGCTTGAGTCAACGAACGGGAAATTTTCCAGACATTTTAGGTTTGGAAAAACTGTGATCCTTAAATATTTCTTATTATTTTAGTACTGTACTCCGGTGAGTTGTCCGTTTTCAATTCCGATGACACCGTCGGAAAGAACGAACATGTGACATACGACGTTCGCAGTTGTAGCTTTTTTCGTGATTTCCACCAGTATTCCGGACTGAGTGTTTTGAATTTTAGCACCGTTTCCGAATGTGCTGACATCGTTTACGGTTCTGAGATCGATGACCAGCGTGAAGGTTTTGTGTTTGAAAAAGGTGGTTAGTGTTTGATGGTTGATTTCACCGGTGCCAAATAATCGTCTTGCCTCTCCGTACAACCTTGTTTTTGGAATGCCTTGACTGTAGACTGCGTTGGGCACGCCTTCCACGGTTACCCTAACCTTTTCGATGTTGGGGTAAACATATTCTTCACTGTCTGTACTTGTCTTGTTCGTAAACAACATGACGATGGCTTTCATGCTTCTGCGTGGCACATTGATCGTTTCGTTGATAATGGTGGAATCCTTACTCCATTGTGACTTTTCATCAGGATGACGTGTTCGAAAGACAGCTTGCGTCCGGAATTGTACTGACTTTCCACTTTTCTTGCCAATCCGATGTTGTCGATGGATTCGTACTCCAACTCAATGTTTTCCAGGGTATACCCTTCCACATTTTCCCCACCCTGTCCGCTCATAATTTCATCTGCCGCTGGTAGGGTTATGACGTACTGTAGATCGTTTGCCATATTGTGTGGAGCGTAGAGTCCGTGGTCCTTCAGGATTTTACTGATTCGGATTATTTGTTTTGTTCCGAATACTTCGAACAGTGCGATGGCATCCGCATCGTCGTTTGCAGCATCGTCTTTGGATATTTTTTCCTCGCGGCTTCGCTAGCAATACCATTCTCCACCATGTCGTCACGCTGCTTCCTTTGTAACCATAGTTCCTTGTAGACCTCCAGCAAACTTTCTCCACTGTTGTCGAATTTACAGTCTTTTTTGGACTAATTTTCCTAAGTTGTTTCTGAACTAGGATTTTGTGTTACTGTTCTTAAAGTCGAAGACCAAAGCTATTCTGTCCGGTATGAGAACGGAGTCGGCTTTTAGCTTCGGAATATTAACATAAATTTCTTCTCCAGGTTTGGCAGACTTGGGGTGAAGGTTAGGACGTATCTGGTCCTATCTGCGGTGATTCTGCCTTGTTCATACGTCGGAAATCAGGCATAAGTTCAGCTGTTCGGTTCATTGTGTTTTATTATAGTACGAAAATATATTTATTTTTTACCTTTGTTTTGCAGGTACCTGAATATAGCTCCGGCAATCACGATCGCCACAATCCACAAATTCTTGACGAGGAAGGCAAGACCCTTGGCTCCCCAACATAGGATTTTACTTAACATATTTAGAATAGGTACCAGGATTGGTATTGCAGCCTTTGCAAACTTTGTCTACGCTTGTCCAGCAGCTCCGAGTTCATTAGCTGCTCCCGTGATGGCCGTCTTTCCAGCCACCACCACAGTCGTAATAATTCCGATAATGGAGATGGCAATTGCGGCTAGCGCCCACATGTTTTCTTTTGCCCACAGGCGGAATCTCTCGAATTTTGTTTGTAATATATTCCTAAAATGTCTTCTCCATCCTCCGGATCCCTAAGGCTGTACATGTTGGGATCTCCCCGAAACACCGCCGTGATGACGTATAGTTCACTGTCGAAAATCGGTTCGTTTCCCTTTTCAAAGGCCTTATATTTTATCTCCACCCTGACGTGATCCCCTACTTTGAACTTGGGTTTTGGAAAATTGTCCAGTGGATATCCGTAAATCCTCGTCCAAGCTTCGTCCTTGTTTTCCTCGTTCACATCCTCCGGTTGATAATAATCTTCCAATTTTGGTTTCCGCTGCGATGCCGAGTCGTCCATAAGTCTCCTAAAATCTCTCAAATCTTCCAGCGCCCTGTTTGTTTGCTCAATGTCCTTGTTAGCATCCAGGATCTCAGCCCGACGTCGAGCTTCGTCGTTCCTCCGCTTCACTTCGGATTCATAAAATTTTTCTTTTGCTTTCGCAAGTTTTTCCAATGCTTGGTTGTGTCTTTTCACTTCTTCCTTGTATCCTTGTCCATTTAATTTCGAGAAAAGAAATCCTGCTCCGGCAAAGTCCACGGCATTGAAGAGTCCTCCGTCTACAACGGATGTCATTTTTTATTTATCAATCGTTTTTGGAATGTATCCCTTATCTTTCAGATACCCTATGGTAAATGCGCTTCCCGCTACGGCAACAGTCAACTTAGCCGCTCCTTCCAAGGTCATTGGTGCTCCGAGACTTTTTCCACCATCCGTTTTGGCAAGGTAGGATACTCCGACGACTCCGGTCGTTAGTAGTTTGGCACCGTATAGTTCGTTGATCACTTCCTTCTTTGTGTCGGTCATTGTGTTCTTTATTATATATAGTCTTAAATTTTATCGTCCTCAGTCAAACAGGTCAGGACCACCGTGCGGTTTTGGTGTGGGTTATGGTTTCTCTGTGGATTTACTTTCTCTATCTTTTCGCTCTTCTCCCGACGATTACACCACATGACGTAAAGGTTTCCAAGTCCTACAGTAATACCTACCACCATGCCAACCCTCTCCAGGGTAATCGCCGACCCTTCACATTTGTTCTCTACGTCCAGAACGTTTTGCTCTTCCTTAATAGCCTCAAGTTGTGCACGCGTCCTGGCATTCGCCTCCTGACTGATCTTAGCAAGCTTGCGTCCTGCCTCCACTTTTTTCGGATCCTTGACGTGGGTCTTCACGGAATTTGTGACCGTGCTCGGGTTCTCTTCTGACATTATTTATTTTATTAAGCAAAAAAATTAAGTAGGTCTCAAGTAAATTATGTAACCTCAATTTTGCTCAAAATTGCCCCAAAATATTTTTAGCAGTCCTTAATTCTGCTCAAAAGTACTTTAAAATATTTTAAGTAGGTTTCAAGCAGATTTAAGTACGATTCGAAACCAACTATTTATAGACAAGACTTTTCTACATACAAACAAAGCAATCATGACCCAACCAAGGACAAATAGCAAAGTCAAGCTCTATTTCAACTGTCCGGAAAAGATGGATCAAATCGAGAGAATGTGTAAATATACCAACTATAATTACATGACATTCAAAATGGTAGTTTCCGGCCAAACAAATTTAATTTATTTATAGCGGCAGTCGAATTCAAGTTCGGGAAGGGGTGGATGGGAAAAGACGCTGGAATTAAAGGTGTAGGTTACGTTTCCGGAGGTCTGATGGGTATACACGTCCTAATTACCATTTCCGAATCCGTCGATGTGATTGATAGTTGGCTCGAAAGTCCAAAAGACAGCATTCACCTAGGTGTACCCACGGATGCTGTGTACAACTGGCATCCCAACTCCACAACCTTAGCGGAGCTAAGGGAGGGGAACGGAAGAGATGAGAATGAAAGCGGAACATAGGGAGAAAACAGACGAAGAAAAATTGGCGCGTGAGTTTGAAGAGGAAGAAGAGTATCACAAATTCCTGGACGAACTACATAAGAATGGTAAGCCAACCGATGTTCCGATAAGGGCTGGGATGAGAAACGTCCTATTCGGTAAAGACTGATGACATTACCAAATAAAGTTTTGACTATTCCTAGGTAGGCAAAACAGGCGTTAATTAATGCATTTTCATGCTGAAAATTTAGCCAGGTAGTGACCTGGCGGGGTTAGCAAATTTATATGACGCAGGTGCGGATTCTCGGCCCAAAAACAGGCGTTTTCTGCTAAGTGGGTGTTTTCATGCATTTTCAAAATCAACAATTTATAATCGGGACTTTCCTACATACAAATAAAGCAATCATGACGCTATTGAGGAGAACGGATAACAAAGTTCAACTCTATTTCAACTGTCCGGAAAAGATGGATCGCATCATAAGAATGTGTAGCTATACCGACTACATGGACATGACGGTCATCATTTTAACCATGGGCGGAATAGGAATAGTGGCTAAACACAGAATCAAGTTCGGAAAAGGATGGATGGGTCGGAACGCTGGAATTCGAGGTGTGGATTATGTTTACGGATGTCTGAAAGGCATTCACATCCTAATTACCATTTCCGAATCCGTCGATGTGATTGATTGTTGACTTGAAAGTCCAGAAGACAGAATTCACCTAGGTATACCAATGGATATTATAAATAATTTGTTCCATATGTGTATGTCTTGGCAGGAGTGGTCGGAGGAAAGGGAAGAACGAAGAGCAATAGATGCGGAAAACGGAGAGGTTACAGAGGAGGCACAAGTGGGAGTAATGGAAATGATGGAAGAAATGCGAATAGAGGCTGAAATGAAGTAATCCCTACAAGGTCAGATTGACTAAGTGTTGAATACATGGTATAATTTTAATGTAAGAAATGCATTAAAATTTTAGTTTTACTGTAACTAAATCAACACCTCTTGGAAGAAATTTTTCCGTACAGTAAAAAGGACTTCACCCACAAGTCCATAACCTCCCGAATCAGTCATGATTGCTACTTTCAAACCCTTTGGATTTGGAAAACAGAATCAACAAAAATTATTTGTATATAATAAAGGGCACTAACCCTAGGTCCGGAAGTTCAGACAAACGGTTCGAATGTTGGATTGAGGTTCCATTGTTATTCAAAACCTTATGGGTCTGGAAAAACAGAATCAACTTTTGACTACACCATAGGTAAATTTTTTTTATATAATAAAACAATGGAAATCCTAAACCAGAGTTTCCAACATTCGAACCGTTTGTCCGAACTTATCGAAGGTATGAAGAACGATGCCTTGGAACGGGAAAAAAAGGATACGGAGAAGCGACGACGGAAAGCAAGAACAGAATGCAGGAAGAGACAGAGGTTCGTCGAAAAAGAGGACCTCAGAAAACAGATCAAAATTAACAAGGATTTCGACAAAATTCTCAAGAAGGAGTAAAAGACAGTGTCCAAAAGATGGAAAAAGTAGATCAAGAGCACCTCGAATCAGTTCCGCAAACGCAGAAAGCAGATTGAGATCGACGCACGGAAGGCAACAAGGGAGGCGTGGATATGGGGACGTGAAATCAAAAAGGAGGAAAGAGAACGACAAAAAATGTTTCCGCCTGGAAGGTCGAAGCCCAGAAGTGGAAAAAGGAATCGCAAAGGTTGAGAAGAAACGAGAAAGCACGGGAGAGACGCGCCGAGCAGAACCGCAAGATTAGAGAGGGTAAGTGGAAAGGCAAGAAGTTTGGTCAGCTTCAGCTAAAACTGGAGGACAAACATAATAATTTTTGAAACAAGCCAAAGGAGGACCTAAAACCCATCCTAACCAAGCTTGGTATTAAGAAAAAGGTAAAAAAGTATGTCATCAACCCCAAGGGTGTGTACGACCCGGCTTACTTTCTAACCATTACAAAGGACGTGGTCACGACGCTGATAAATTCCGAAACAGAACCAAGAAATGTAAGCATGTCCCTAGCATGCGAAATGGTAAGGAACGATCCAAAAACCGGGGAAGAAGGATCCACTGTAGCCCACTTCAGGTCGAAAACCCACAAACTCGTCGGTCCAGACGACACAGAAGAGGTTCATAACATCATGAAAGATGTCCTTTTCTGAGTACGAAAAGCGAGGTGGTGGGTGGAGACTCCAGAGGGCAGATCTGCTCGAAATTCATATCGAAGAATTCCGACCACTTAGGGGTAATGGACACGAGCCGCTACCTGAGTCAATCAAAAGGAAGAAAGCGATTATCAACATGAAAAATACGGACAACGAGTGTTTACATGGGCTGCGACTCGCGCTCTAAACCCAGTCGAACACAATCCTGAAATAATTTCAAAGGAACTCAAAGAACAATCCGAAGAGCTAAACTGGGAAGGAACCGAATTTCTGACACCCCTAAACAAATATAAAAAAATTCGAAGAAAATAACAGCCTCAGCGTAAACGTATTCAGTGCCGACGAGAATCTAAAGGTATACCCCCTAAGACTAACCGGAAAACGCGTCACCATAAACCTATTCCTATGGAAAAACCACTACAGCGTCATTAAGGATATGTCCAGGCTCGTAAGCGCACAAATCAACAAAAAGGAACACAAAAAATACATCTGCAACCGTTGCCTCAACGCATTCGTTTCGAACGAGCTCCTAGAAAAGCATCTGAAGTTATGTTCGGACAACGACTATCAGAGGCATGAGTATCCGAAAGCTGGTAGTACAACCAAGTTTGAAAATTATGGAAAAATACAAACAGTTCCGTTCGCCATCTATGCGGACTTTGAGTGCTACATCGAAGGGTTGGACGCGGTGGAACACAACCCCAACAAGGCAAGCACTGTCCAATACCAAAATCATAACCAAAGCGGATTCAGCTATTATGTTAAGTGTTGCGACAACTCCATCTACAAACCCAAGCTAGTACACTACACCCAACAGTACGAGGGAAAGGACGTTACCAAAAAGATTGTGGATATGCTGGAAGAGGAAACCCATGATACCTACAACAGATTCAAATTCAAAAAACCTATCGAGAACTCCTCCAAGGACATTGAAAATTGTAAAAAACAACCGTCTGCTATGCCTGCAAAAAAGAGTTTACTCCCGACAACCATAAGGTCAAGGAAAACTGCCACTACACCGGCGCCTACAGGGGTGCGGCACACAACACATGCAACCTGAGGATGAAACAACCAAAGTTTATCCCGGTACTCTTCCACAACCTCGAAAGGTACGATGCCCATCTATTCGTCAGAAAACTCGGGGTAAGCAGCGGTGATATCAAATGTATCCCTGAAACGGAATGAAAGTACATCTCCTTTACCAAAGAAATAGAGGTTGATGAGTTTAATTAAGGGTAAAGGCGGTAAGACGAGGAAGGTCAAAAAGGAGCTGAGGTTTCTGGACTCGTTTAATTTTATGGCAAGCTCCCTGGACAAGCTCGTCAAGGGTTTAGGTAAGGACGACTTCAGAAATTTGGATCTAATATCAAAATGTTACACCAAAGAACAGAAGGAGCTGCTCAAACAGAAGGGTGTTTACCCCAATGAATACATGGATAGTTTCGACAAACTTGGAGAAACGTCTCTTCGGCCAAAGAGCAAATTCTTCAGCAAGCTAAACAACGATAACATCAGCGATGCGAATTATGAAAGGGCGCAGAATGTGTGGAACGTCTTCGATATGAAGACCATGAGGGATTACCACGACCTGTACCTGAAAACGGACGTCCTACTCCTAGCGGATGTGATGGAAAATTTTAGGAAGGTCTGTAAGACGAACTACGGACTGGATCCAATGTGGTACTACACAGCACACGGACTAGCCTGGGACGCTGCGCTAAAGTTGACGAAAGTGGAATTGGAGCTTATTTCCGATCCGGACATGTATCTATTTATCGAAAAGGGTATTCGCGGTGGAATCAGCACCATCACCAAAAGGTATACTAAAGCAAACAACAAGTACATCGGACTCTCAAATGTTCCAGAATGTGTCATCCAATGTCTAAAAAATTAGGACGTTACAATTCAGAAGGATCCTAAAGACCTGGACGGAAAGTCGGACGTTTTCGAGGCTGAGGTGGAGGACATCATGAAAGACCACGACGATGCAGACGTAGAATTTGTTAATTAGTACCCCAGCAAAAACATCACAAAATGGGTAAAATATATTAATCGCAAAGGTGAAGATCAATCTATATACATCCCCTATATGGATGCAAACAACCTGTACGGATGGGCGATGAGTCAACCCCTGGCCATCAGGGACTTCAAATAGATGGATGGTGAGGAGTTGGAAAAGTTGAGGATCTATGGTTGCATCCTTGAAGTGAACCTGGAGTACCCTGAGGAACTGCACGACAAACATAACGTCGGAACTTAGCGCAGGAAAGAATGAGGGTTAATAAGGTGGACAAGCTGATACCAAACCTAAACAATAAGGAAAAGTACGTCGTCCATCACGAGACGATAAAACTATACCTAAGCCTAGGGTTAAGGTTAACCAAGGTACACAGGGGAGAAAAATTTGTCGGAGAACCATGGCTGAAGAAATATATCCAACTCAATACGGACGTGCTTACCAATGGTACTACGGACTTCGAGAAGGATTTCTTCAAACTGATGAGAACAACTCGGTCTTCGGTAAGGCCATAGAAAACGTAAGGAATGGGGTCAACATCACGCTCGTCAACGACAAAGAAGTGGAACAAGATGGTTCAAAAGCATAACTTCAAATCCACAACCATCTTCTCCGAAAACCTCGTGGTAGTCCATTTGAAGAGAACGCCCGTAAAGCTGAACAAACCCATCTACCTTGGGATGAGCATCCTAGACATCAGCAAGACGCTCATGTACGACTTCCACTTTAATAAAATCAAGTCGAAGTACGAGGACGACGCCAGACCCCTATTTACGGACACAGAATCCCTGTGCTACGAAATCATAACCGAGGACTTCTTCAAAGACATCTCCAACAACATTCACGAAAAGTTCGATACCAGCAACCTCGGCAAAAACCATCCGTCCGGAATTCCAACAGGTGTAAACAAGAAGGTCATTGGGATGATGAAGCTGAAAACAGGCGCAAAACAAATAGAAGAGTTCGTGGGATTAAGGTCAAAGCTGTACGCGTACAAAACGGCGGAAGGCTGGGATGAGGAGAAAAAGTGTAAGGGTGTTAAGAAGACGGTCATTAGAAAGGAGAAAACATTCAATAACTACAAAGAATGTCTCTTCAGCTGCAAAAGACAATGGAGGGGAATGAATGTCTTCAGAAGTAGGTTGAACGAAATATATACGGAAAGGGTTGTTAAGATAGCCCTATCGGCAAACGACGATAAGAGGGTGGTTCATAGAGAGGAATAAACACAATGGCAATCGGACATAGGGATCTAAGGCAGTAATGGAAAGACTTCGGAAGGACTTTGGGAAGCGGAAAGTCAACATCGTCCTCCTCTTCCACGACAAGTCCGATCCCTTAGACCTAAAGCTATTGTTTTATCCTAACAGGAAGTAGGACGTCATCCTGTTCACCTTCCCCCTGACTTTTTTCAATCTACCCTCGTACGGACTCAACAACCACAGAGTACGACGCTGCCGCTGTTATATAGATAATGGTAGAAGTCACTAATGATTTTTTTTTGGAAGATTTTTGTGAAAACTCCAACAGGCGCGCGGGATGGAGGTCGGGGAAGAGAATGCGCGAGAGGGGGAAGAGATTTCGGGAGACAGAGGGTTCCGAGAGTGGCGAGAGGGATTGTGGGACTTTTGGGAAACCGGAAGTGACGTCACAGTTTTTCCAGGAAAACGGAATTCTAGGAAGTAAATTGGGAAAAGGGAATTCCCCTTTTCGGCATGCCAATGCAAGCCTGTGAAAATGCTGACCCGATGAGCAAGTCGTAGGGTAGTGGGCCACAGTCTGACATTGGAAATTATTTGATGCAGGTCAAAGACCGGGCAAGTCTGGGCGAAACATAAAAAATGTTGTCCCTACGAGTAAGTCGTAGGGGTGTAAGCCAGAACTGGCCTTTCTTTGCTACTATCAATTATATATATTGGGTTAACAATTTTATGATTCACATAGATAACATTGTGATTTACTCATGTGTAATACTCTCAAATAATGTTTATGTTTGGCTATACAAGGCTTGTAGCAATCCGCAATTATGTAGGCTGTATTCATATTTATATTCATATTAATAACATATTGTTTTATATACTATGTGGGTTCAAACATGCTTTCTCGAGTTTTACCAAACACTTTCTCGAGTTTTACCAGTATTTACTATAATGTGTTTATTCAAAATTTGAGTTGTTGACTTTAACTTACATTTGATGGCATTGAAATGAAATAATTCAATATATAAACCTCGCGCGCGCAAATTCAAATTTTAGCAGCCACAACAGGCCAACAGCCACAAGATAAAATATGTACAATACGTACATAATACGTATAATACGTACGTTATAATTATATGATATAAACAGTAATATTTCATACCTGAGACCAATAAGCCTTCAGCAGGATTCGACGTCACTTATCCAGTACAAAATAAGATAAGTACCACGGTCTTCTTAAGCGAAATATACTCGAGCGAAAAAGTCGAAAATTTGCAAATAACACTTGACATTTGATACACAATATCTCACAACTCATTGCGCGCGTGGCCCTTGTCTTCTAAAATAGATACACCAAAAAGCGCTCTCAATCTATCGTAGCGCTAGCTTGAAACTGTAGGAAGCTTTAATCTGGCGGTTTCTGGCAAAAAATGATTATAAAAAATGATGAAAATTCTTATAAGCGAATAATGAGATAGATTTTCTAAAAAAGTTATATGCCAATTGCAATAATATAGAATCTTTATGGTTTATTAACATATCGCATGTCATAACATGTGACAGCATTAATCGTAATGTCATAACATGTGCTGATATTTACGCAAAATCTTCGGTAAATGTACACATAATTTTTTGCGGTGGATCACACCATCTTCAGTAAAGTGTAGATAGACGATTGTTGCAACTGATTTGAATTCATATATAATTGTTATTTTTCATTAACAACGCATTGGCCATGTTGTATTCATTGTAATATCCGTCATGTTGAAACTGCGACAATTTAGGACAGAGCCGTTCAGCTTCAAATTTGACAAAAAAAAGTGAAAGATACACAATAGAACTTGGTTTAATTCAATTTAATATCATATCTCGTTTCGGCCATGCAAAAGGTGCCGTAAGAAAGGTTTTGATATATGCGATTAATAATATTAAACTTCATTTCAAGATTGTTTTTCTAATTATAAGAATATTATTCTACGATAGAAAAAAGTTATTCTTAAAATAAGAAAAAAATGCTCTCGAATATTCTTGCCCAGTTATATTTTCTTACTTTTAGGTTTTTGTTCTTAAAACTAAATTTTTTCTTGAAAGATTTCTTGATAAGAAATATTTACTTAAAATAAGAAAAATAATCTTTAAAGTAAGAATATTATTCTAGACTAGAATTTGATTTTTTGCATTATACACACAAACGCGGATGTAAATATAGTCTCGTGGCGGAGGTAATAACCAATCACTATATTAACTATATTGAAATGTACAAGCTTTCAGGGAGGTTGTAACTGTCTTTTTCGACGTTTTCTAAGCATATTCGTTTTGACGTCTCCTGATTTTAGTGTCCTTTTTAAATTAGTCTTCATTTCGGTCATTACGATTGATAGTATTTTGACGACGTCAGTGATATCTCAGTTAGTTTGCCAAAAACAAATTTGAAGTTGTGTTTTGAAATGGGAAATAACTCATTGCTGGTATTTTTGTGTCTGAATTATGCTGTTGTAAAAGTTCATCTAAAGTTGGCATTTCGGGTAATGTGTAAAATCCTTTCTCTTGTAATTATGTATGACTTACGTTTTTGCGTTCTTTATAGACAAGTTGACCAAGTTAGAATATTATTCTGAAAGTCCACAACTTGGTCAACTTGTCTATATTCTTCGCGTTGCAAAAACTTACGTTGAAAGAGACTATAGCCAAATGTTTCTTGCGAAAGAGTAACAATTTTATGCTGAGTTTTTGGAAACTGTACTGCAAAGACGGAACGCTATGTCCACATACATTTGTTCGTATAGAGAACGTCGCATTGTCACTTTGAAAGCTTCTCAAGGTACGGCACCCTCTTTCCCAGGGCTTTTCCCTTTTTGTCATTGCGAAGGCGGGAAAAGGCCCTGGCACCGGCCGGTCACATGACTTTCAACACCCAGATATAGTGGGTGTAATAAATTATAATAATAATGAATTAGAAAATCCAAGATGGCCGCCAAAGTAAGAGTGTTTACAAAATTTAAGTGCTTAGAGCGACTTAAAAATGCGTTTAGTCTTTGAAATTTTTCCTTCTTTTTGCTACCGACGTACTAGAAATCAAATTCTTCAGCTTTTATTACATGGGAACTATGTAGTTGCTGTTCTTTCAACTGGGTTTGGTAAATATCGTTCGTTCGCTAAACAAAATATTTAACAGACAAAATTATTATAGTATTACGACAGATGTTCTCCAGCTGGACAGGCTTGCTTTATAAGAGGACGCGGAAAGTGTTTTGAACTGGGGATGTTAAACTTGGTTTTACCCTTCCAAAGACTCTGCTGTGTGACGATTGGAGCGAGTTTGTGAGGAATATTTTATACAGTGATTCAAAGAAATGTACTGTATATGTTATTGATCTATTGTTGAATGTCACTTATGCACCTATCAATGTTAACCCCCAGACGGGGGGGGGCGGTTCGGGCATATGTGGGGTATTTGATCATCAATTGCAACCCCACCCTGGGAATTTTGATTAGCATTTTGGCCCCGAGTTGGGGCATTTTGAACCGAATGACTTTTATTAATATAGTATTTATTGCAATTTATTGCAAAATGGTGGGGTATTTGACCAATATTTATAGCCCGACGGTGGGGCATTTGATTGAAAATTTTCTCAAAAAATCAAATGCCCCACCTATGCCCAATCCCCCCTCTGGGGCTTAACATTGATAGGAGCATTATATTATAAAGTGTCAATGGTTGGAATATTTATTCATTGATATTTTAAACACAGATGAAGAGCTATGTGCCCTTTCCTTGTTTATGTTTTCCTTCCAGCCAAATGCTGTTGAAACTGGCAAGCTGCAAACTGACATATGAGTGATATGACCCAAATAGTGGATATGCATCTTAGTTTGCTTCCAGTAAAATGTAAACAAAACCTTAAGAATTCTATATGAGATAAGAAAATTACATTTAAAATCATGACTTCAATTCTTGCTGTTACCATCTGCACATTATCAGGGTGGAGAGTTGATTTGAATATTTTGTCCCAGGGCATAAAGGTAGGGAATAGATTTTCCATCACAAAAGGGGCAAGGTGCCCAACCAGTTAGAATATTGCATGTACTTTAAGTGACCATTCATTATACCCTAGGGTGGGTGGGAGATTCTTATGTCAAAATGTCATGGGATCCCTTTTTTAATCTCTTAATTTAATAATGGTGACCCCTCCTAAATATTTAAGACTATATAACATGATGCAATTCTAATCTTCATTCATGAGAATGCCTGGCTGTCAAGAAAATACATTTTGCAACTGACAGGGATGGATCCAGCGTGATCTGGTGGGAGGGTGGGGGGGGGGGGGGGGGGGGGGGGGGGGGGGTTGCTCTGCCAGCTCTGGGGCCGCGTTGTGTTGGTCTTGTGTGCTACCTGCCCATCAACTTGCTTCACTACTGCAAAGTCTTGCTTTACTACTGTATTTGAATTGTAATTGTTGTTCACAGCTCACTCATCATCATGTTATTACTCAAATTACTGCATGTCATTTTGCCTCTAATTAATTTTTGCTTTAATTGTCATGAAAAATAGCACCCCATCTGGCCAGGGCTAGGGGGGTGCACACCGCCCAGTAAATCTATCCAGGTGCAACATTCACTATAAGAGCTAGAATGATTGCTTCCTTTGGATGATTTGTCTTAGAATTATTTTGCCTCTATAACAACAATTCTTCCTATTATGAAACCAGTTGCTATTCTGTTTTTTACAACACTCACCCCCCCCCCCCCCCAAAAAAAAAAAAAAAAAAAAAAA